CATTATGGTCACAGGAATAAGGCAGGGTCTGCTTAGGTGACGTGTGTCCCCCCCCTCCTTAATAGGTGTCCAGAAGTAAAATTTCAGTAACTTCCTTAAATTGTGCCTGGTTCCTTGTTGCACCATTGTTGCCCTGGGTTTTGGTTTTTGGTTGTTTGTTGGGTTTTTTTTGCAAGGTCTGTTTGTAGTTGTTCTGGGTGTAAAATTCTACCAGCTTAGTTAAGACCAACTTTTAATATGGTTTTTCCATTCTCTGGGCAGTATTGAAATGGCACAAAAGCCAAACACTGCTTATGTTCACTCCTGAAGGAGGCAATGTAATTAGATTTCCTTGAGGGATGGAGCCTCTCTGCTCTGGAGACAGGCTGAGAGAGCTGGGGGTGTTCAGCCTGGAAAAGAGAAGGTCCAGGAAGACCTTAGAGTCCCTTCCAGTGCCTAAAGGGGCTCCAAGAGAGCTGGAGAGGGATGTTGGACACAGGCCTGGAGTGACAGGACAAGGGGGAATGGCTTTAAACTGACAGAGGACAGGGTTAGATGGGATATTGGGAAGAAACTCTTCCCTGTGAGGGTGTTGAGGTTGGATGGGGCTTGGAACAACCTGATCTAGTGGAAGGTGTCTCTGCCCATGGCAGGAGGTGGAATGAGATGAGTTTCAAGGTCCCTTCCAACCCAAAACCGTTCTATGATTCTATGACAAATTAAGCTTGTTAACATAATCTCCCATGTGCTAATTCAAATAATGGATGTATTGAAAAGAGGATGTTTGTTAAATGTGATATATTTGCCAAAAATGGAGAGGTCTAATCTCTGTTTTGGGGGGGGTTTCACGTTTGTCTGCTGAGCTTGAACTCAAGTCAGCCAGTCTCCCCTGCAACCCCACCAGCATCCCTTCAAAGGGAGCAGTCCCTTCTTGGCTCCACTGACTTGTAAGGCATAAAGAAGGCAATAAAATGTTTGACTTTCCTGCCAGACCTGAGCCTGGAGGAGTAGGAGGATCCCAATTGGTTTCCATCAGATTCCAGTTAGCATGAATTTACGGTTCCTACTTAGCCTGATAAATGGCTTTGGCTGCCTCGGTGCATTTGGATTTATTTTCCTGTGTGATGGAAAGTGGTCAGCTTGAAAAGGCCAAGGCTTTCCAGGGTTGCCGTGATTTCAAGTGAAGCTTCTTTCCGAGGCAAGAACACAGCAGGCAGAAAATAAAGCCGAGGCACATCATGAAATATGTGTGGAATAGCAGAGAAATCAGAAGCAGTTTGGGTCTCTTGTGCTTGCTGTGGCAATGGGCTGTGATAGGCATAAAAATTCCACTGGAAACTGGAAAAATTCTTCAGATTTCCTCGCTTTCCTCAGAAACCACACTGAGCAGCAGGTATCAATAGCTCCCAGTGTTCAAACTTTGTTTGCATCGTTCTTTCCATGGAACATTCCCAGGAGAAGAAAGCAGAGGCAGATTAGCATGGTGAGCCGGGGAAAGCAGTTTGCCCCGTGCTGCCTGCAGTCCTGCTTCCTTCCGCTGTGCTGGTGATGTCTGGGCTACAAAATGTGGTTTAATGCATATTTGGGGAGCAGGGAAGCCTTTTGGTTACAGTGAGTGCTGCTTGGGGTCAGTAGATAAGTGGACTCTCCATCCCTGGAATTGTTCAAGGCCACGGGCAGGGGGGATGTAACTGGATGAGCTTTAAGGTCCCTTCCAACCCAAACCATTCTGTGACTCTGTGTCTCACTGTCTTCTCTTAGTGAGTGGCCTCTGCTTTCCACGAGCTCTGTTTGTAAAGATGGTGGCTGAGCAGGACGTGGTTTCTGGGATGCTTTCTCCTGGCTCACTTTGAAGAAACTGGAGTTGGTGTTCCTGGAGAGACCAGTTGGCAGTGGTGTGCTTGCCTGTGGCTCCATGGATCTGTCTCATTTGAGGGATGGCTCATGTTTTGGATGAGCTGAGGCACATGGGTCATGTGTAAGACACAATCCACGAGCCCTTCAAAGGAGGTTTTGCAGTGGCTTCTACTCAGAGCACCCTGGTGACCCTACCTTTAGTTTTTATGCCTTAAGGGCCCAAAACCACACGTGCATCTGCCTTGTTCTGAGCCATGAGATCTGGCATATTCCTGCCTCTCTAGCCAGAAGTGGGGATGTATTCCCCTGGGGATGTTGGGTTTTTGGTTGACATTGGGCTGTGGACACCATGGCAGAGACTGTGAACCATTTTCATTAAGGTTTATAAAGCCACATCACTGGAACTTGTACTTAAAGTACTTGGAATGCTGTGAGTTTTTGGCATTTCAAACTACTTTAGGTTGTAAAAATAGGGGAAAGATTTATTTGACCATGGATTGACAAAGGATAGTTAGAACCCAGTTGTCATAGTTGGGGACTGCTTTTGTTTGTGTGAAGTGAAATGTTACAAGCCATTCAGGTCCTCAAGTTAAAATATGATTAAAAAACAAGTTGAGGGAACACCAGCTGCTACTTACCTATCTCACATAAAGCCCCCAAACCCCAGGCTGTCCTATGTACCTTCTGAGAGGGCTTTCTGTGATGACTTTGACCCAGAGAGCTGCCAGCTGCCAGGCTGCATCTCTTGAGCATCTTCTGTTTGCCATCCAGCATTCACCCCTCTGTCTCACTCAGACCAGAGTCAGCTTTTGAATTCCCTGGCTGGTTTCAGGCTGGTTTGGCGATGTTGGGACAGAGCTGGACAGGGCACAGCCGTGTCTGATGCTGAATGCATAATGCCTTGAGCACAGGGCTGCATCCATCTGCCTGGTACCATCTCCACTGGGGACAAAGCTGCAACATGAGCTTGCTTCTTATAAGACATCAGAGAATCCACATAAGAGCCTGTGCTGTCGGCACGACCCCGGCCGGGGAGGGCTCCTGTTGGGGACCTCACAGTGCGAGGCGCCGGGGAGCCGCTCATGAGATGCGAGTTCCATAGGAAAATAACTTTATTAGTTCTGGTGCTGGTGGAGCTGCTTTGGGTTGTGTCTCCCTTCATTGTCTGTGTAATTTAGAGATGATTTTTCCATCTCGGCTTATGAAATATTGAGAGCTTCAGTATTTTGCGCAACCTCCATCAGAAGTGTCAGAAGCCCCAGCGAGCTGAACTTTCTGCAGTTAAGTGTTTTATTGACTTGCCTTGCCAGCAGCCCCACCAGCAGGGCCTGAGGTGCAAGCAAGAAGTGGGTGCCTCTTCCCAACCCACTTTGCTGCCTGAGCATCACCTCGTGGGATGCTCTAAGTGTCCGTGTGCTGATACTTGAATGTGATTCACTTTTTTTTTTCCAACTGAAGCATGTGAAATTGCTGGTCTTGGGTTAAGTTTGGAGGTGGGAGAGTTGCTGTAAACCTGTGCCCCCTCTGCCTGCAGCCAGCCAAGGAATCAGCAGCTTCATGTGTTCCTACAGCAGACCGGAGTCCCTTCCAAAATGCTCCCCCAGTTATCATCCAGCATCCTATACTGGGAGGCCTGTCTTTTGCAGGAGATCATGGCCCCTGTGTTCATGCCATGCCTGCTCGTAGAATGCTTTTTAATACTTCCTTTAAAGCACTTTTCTCCCTTTACAGCCTTTTCCCCTCCCAGAAGGAGGCAGAGGTACCTTAAACTAATTAGGAATAAGCAGCAGAGAAGCAGGGGGTGAAGGGTTAGGTGGGATGCAGGGGGGCAGTACCTCTAGAAGGTTTATGGACCTGGCTTGGCAGTTAGCAGTAGCCTGCCAGAGCACTGGGAATTTCATAAAAAGAAGAATTTTCTGTCTGCAAATGAGTAAATATCCCATCATGCCTACACCAACTATGGAGAATATGGCATGTGTGATTTCTGGACTTCTGAAAAGTCAGCATCCCTCAGCTTGGGCTCTTAGTTTGCTGCCCTGGGGAAGGACGGAGGGAAAGTACAGAGCTCCCTGGTTCTCCAGAAAGTAGCTGGAGGGAGAGGTGGTGTTGCCTGCAAAGATTTGGGAAGGATATCAAGAGCTGAACCTGCTCAGCTGTATGGACTGGATTCACAATCCTTGCTGAGATCTTAAAATGTGTCTGCGCACGGTCTGCAAGCAAAACGCAAATGTAGCTTGTCCTCCTGGGGTGGTTTTATGGGAGCTGGGAGGAGGATGGTTTTTGGGCAAGAGCTGGAGGGGTGGTTGCCCCTTCTCGGGGCAGCACAGCCGGCAGCCAGGGACGCCCATCTGCGTGGCCAGGAATGCTGTTGTGTAAATGCGTGTTTGCCCAGCGCCCGGCTCGAGGTGAATGGTGCTGGGCTGATGGGATTAGTCAGGGGCCTCCAGTTAATATCTGTTGTTCACACCACACCTCGGGGAGCGGCTATTCAGGATTACCGGGAGGTTCGGAGGTGGCAGAGCCGCCACGTCTGTGCATTAATGGGAGGGGGAAATGGTCCAGTGTGGCTGTGTCCGGTGGGTTCCTGCTCTGAGCCTCCCTCGCTGCTCCGAGGTCCTGGTGGAGTTTGCTCCCCGTATAAAGCATTTCGGATTTACATTTTCCTTTAACACTTCCTCTTCGATCCCAGTAATATGTTACACATTTAATTGCCCTTCCTTTGAATTTTCCAGTCTGCTTTTGGTACCCTTGCAACATCAGTATCTTGTTATCTTGTTGTTGCTTCTAATTGCTAACACATGCCAGCTTTCCAGCGCTGCAAACTCTGGCGCTGGGCTTGTTGGAGTGTGGGGGGGGGAGAGTTTACAGCGAAGATTTACGTGCGTGGGGAAACCTTCAGAAAATTAATCCTCCGGTTTACCCAACAGCTTTATCCGGATTTCAAAACCGAGGTCTGAACGGAGATGTACCCCCGGCGCCGCGTAAGGCAGAGCTGTTTTTTGGGAGGGTGGCAGCGCCCGTGTCGGTCGGCGAAGCCTCTTTTCCTCCCGCCGCTGTCTCGCTGTTATTGCCGGCCATAAACAAATTACGTGTATTTAACAAGTTAATGTCAGGCGGGCTGCGAGGCGCTGGTAGGTGTGTGCCTGGTGACATCAGCTGGCGAGCAGCCTGGCAGCAGCGCGGCACAGGCAGGGAGCAGGCAGGGAGCCGAGGGTGTGTTGCCTCTAAGCTGGGTATTCTGGCAAGGTGGAGAGCTGGTCTGTTTGGCAGGACCTTCCCATCTGGGATCCATCTGTGTTTCCCTGGAATCGGACAGGCGGCTCCAGGCAGTGAGAAATCGCAGATGTGCGGGACCTGACACATGTCCAGCTAATGAAAGGAGAAGGCAGGCTGGGCTCCGGCTGCGCTCGAAGATCACGAGCGGAGGAGGAGGAGGAGGAGGAGGAAGAGCGCTTTTCTTTCTATTTCAAAGAAACTAGGTGTATTCAACAGCAGCTGGATCCTTGCAACCTCGCCGGTTAGGGTAAGCGATAGCCGGGTTTATTTTTAAACAGCGCTGGGTTAGGCTCGGCTTATCCGGGCGCAGCGGGGGATGCTCGGGGGGGATGCTCAGCCCTTGTGCCGCCGGCGAGGTTTGAGGAGCGACCTGTGTTCCGCCGGCGGGCTGGGGAGACCCTCAACCTTGGGAGCAGGTAGAGGGAGAGGGTGGGAGCGGCGGCGGCCGCAGCGCTTTGCCTGCCTCGCTCCTCTGCAGTGGCTGTGCTGGGGAAAACTTCAATAGCCGAGCGGCTGCAAGCGAGGATTCTGCAGCTGAAAAAACACTAAACTCTCTCTGAGGAGAGCTGCGGTACAGCTTGTTCCGTGTTGCTATGGAATGGTTATTATTTTTTTTTTTCCTACCCCCCCAACCCCTCCTCCGTGAGCAGAGGGCTGGGATTCAGCGTTTTCTGGGGAAATGGCAAAGCAGGAAGGGTTTTGTGTGTTTTAGCAGAATGTGGGGTGTTTTTTTTGCTGTGCCCAGCCTTACTCTGGTTTCTGCATGCTGGTATTGAAGCTCGGAAAGAGGGGGGGTAAATCTGCAGAGGTGGATTTCTTCCATTGGCTCCCAAATTTCCTTAATTTTCCCCGTGTTTTCAGGGCTTCTCTGCATTGTGGCAGAGGCTGCTCCCTTTTTGTCTTTGCGCTCCTTGAGCAGCAACTGATGCTCCCAGCATCTAAATCTCCCGGATCAATTTTGTGATACCAGCACAGACCTCCCCCTGTATATTTTCATGTCAGGCTGCAGACTGCTGTATTTTCTGTTTTTCCGTTGTAATCCCTGGATCCTGCATATTTAGTTTAAACCTGCCCTTTTTCCTCCCTCCCTGTCTTTTGGGAAGGTTCAGCAGTTGAAATTGCTCCTCCAACCCTCTGTGTAGCTTCTTGTAAAGATACTTCTGTTCCATGTTGGCTGAGCTGCTGCCCCAGGGCGTGCTCCCCAAAATATTCCCAGCTTTTTCTCCCTCCTGCAGCACTCAGCTCCCATGCAACAATACTCACAGTCCCTTTTATGTGCTGGAGAAATCCTGCCCAGCCACGGGAGATGCACCAAAATCAGCACTCAAAGTTTGGGGAGCTGAAATGTGGCTGAGCATCGCTTGCTGTCAGGCTGGAAAAAGAGAGAATATTTGCTAGGCTGTCTGGTGCAGCATGATTCCCTTCGGTGTTGCTTTGTCCAGGTTAGTTTTAAATGTGCCAGATGACAGGGTTTCCCAGGGGAGAGCCTGGCCAGGTTCCCTGGCTGGGTGCATGGGCTGCAGCTCTGTGCTGGGCCACCTTAAGGTTTTCCTTCTCCTGCAGCATGCAAGCATTTGGGTATAGACTTTAAAAATAAAATATATATATATATAATCTGCTTCTGCAGACACAACAAACACCTCCCGTGTGTCCCTTGCTGTCCCCAGAGAGGAGGCAGAAGGAGCATGTGCTGCTCTTCAACTTCAGCGTCTCAAAGTGCACCAGCACAAAGGAGGTAGAAACCCAAAAAGTGTCCAGCAAAGCCAGACAGAGTGTGATGATACCTAAAAGCAAAGGAGACTTCCCGAATTTATGAAGGCAGTGCAGTGTGTTGGAGCATCTGCCCCTGTGGTCTCTCCTTGCAGGGCTCTGATTAAACCAGCGGAAGTTTCGCCGGCATCGGGGCAGCGCGTTTGGCCATTAAACAACTAATTTGCTGAAGTCTTGCTCGAGCCCTGCAGGAAACTTTGGGTTTTTTTTCTCAGGTTCCTTCATTTTTGGAAAGGATTTGGGGTGCCTGACAAGCTGAGTGCTTAGGTGGGAGAGGTGATTGTGTTTTGGGAAAGAGGGGGGCTGGAAACTCGGTGGCCAGTCGTAATAATTTTATAGAAATGGTATAGGACATCCAAGTGAAGGCACCTTGTTTTTTCACAGTTGTCTGCTGGATGACATGATTTTCACTATTAATATGGAAAAGATGTTTATTCTGATTTTTTTGAACTGCCTAGGCTTCATCTAAATGACTGCGTGTCCTCCTCAGCACATGCAGCAGTTAGAGAAACACACAAATAATGCAAAACTAAGAGACTCCAGTGTAAGAAACAAGGAAAAAGGGGTAAAGCAAAGGCGGTTTGAGCAAATACTGCCAACAGGAAAGTGCAGTTAAGCCAAGGGAAGGATTTGAAAGGTTTGAGGAAGGAGCAGAATTGCTAAAGGCAGGGAGAATAAATCGTTAATCTGAGAACTCTATTACACAGGGAATGCCCCAAGGAAAAGAGCAGAAACTCCATTTAATAGTGAAAAGGCCAAACCAGTGCTGCCAAGTCGGGCTCTGCTCTGCCCAGGGACTGGAGCCACAGCCCCTGCTTACTTCCAAGATGCTGCTATTTTTGCAACTTGCATCTGCTGGTGTTGCAGAGGCTTGTTCGAACCCGCCGGAGCTGAAACGAAGGGAGCTTTTCTCACATGAACCCTGGGTCAGGCTCTTGGGTTTGGTTTTCCTTTTGTTTTATTCCTCTTGGTCTTACAGGAGCAGTGTCCCCGAGAGAGGAGGGTTTCTCTTAATGTTGCCTCATCTGTCCTGCCTGAGTCCCAGATTATTTTATTGCTGCTTTACAGAGCTTTGTCACGTGTCACCCATGGTGGATTTTGGCTCGTCGAGGTTATCACTGGTTTGACAGGTTTGTGTGGTTTGACTGAGTTTTCAAGGCAACCAGCTCTTTGGTCCTCAAACTGACCCATAAACGCAGTAACCACCAGCAGCATTTAGCAGGAGGCAGCGCTCTCCCACGGTTATGGGATGGGATGGGTGAGCCAGGTGGCCTCTTGTTTTTTCCAGCTCTGATTTTTTAAGGTTTGGACAAAAAACAAGATTTGTTTGATGGGTATGTGTGATGTTTATAGTATAGCTGGAGAGCCGAATACAGTAATTTGAGGATTTGGGCATATGCAGCAAATTTAAGGCAATGCTGGCTGGTTCTTACATCTGAGCAGGAGATGGTCATAATCTGTTGCCTGTTGGGTTTTTTCCCATTATAAGAGCTGGCTTATCCATACTTGTTCTGGGCTGGATTCTAAGCTTGCCTTTATTTAGTGACTATTTCCCTATCTGATTGCTTGTTAGGAGCTAGGTATGAAATGTGTTTCGACAGACACTCCAGAGCAGTCCCTGGGGGCAGCGTCACTGCAGGTCTCTGGGAGCCTGTTCAACTTTTATTTTTATGATGGAGACTGTCTTAATTCATGCAGCGTTCGGGGAACGGCTGGAAAAACCTTTGTTTAGAGCAGGAGCAGCAGCCAGGAAGAGCTGGTGAGCGATGATCCCACAGTTAAAGTGCAGCATGGAGAGGCTTGGGTTCAGTGCCTGGGTCTGCAAGCAATTTTCTGAGGCAGGACCTTGACCTTAGCACCGCTTTGTGTGTCAGCAGCTTATGTCCGACAGGACAATAGCGATTTCAGAGGTTTCAAAGCATTTTAAAGTGTAACTATCATGCCTTTTATTGGGCTGGGCAGTGGCATTTTTATAAGCCAAGCTTAAGGTTTTAGAATAATGCGTATTGAATTTCCTTGGCGCGCTCCTGGCCGCAGGATTCCCGTCTCTCATGGGCCACGGCAGGACTTGTGCTGTGGGAGGAGGACGGTTACAGGTGGCCAGAAGACCACTGAGAAGAGCCAAGACTTGCAGATGTGCTGCTTGGTTACTCCCTGGTCCTACAGAAACAACAAAACCAGGAGCCAGTTTTTCCTTGCGGCAACAGGACGCCACAACCCGCCGGTGGGATGCTGTGTAACCATCCCTTCCAAAGGCATCTCTTCCACCGGGAAAAAACAAACAAACAAAACCAACCGAGAAAGCCCCAAAAGCATTGAGGGGAGGAGGAGGAGGAGGAAGGCCAGGCTGCAGCCCCGGAATAGCTCAGACCTGTTGCTGCCCGGCGGGCTGTGGATGCGAGCGGGGCCGGTGTGGCTCGGGATGCTGCCGGGGGGAGCGGGGCATTGTGCGGGAACAGATGTGCGGGGCGCTGCCGCCGCGTGCCGGCCCGGAGCCGCTGCTCCCAGCGCCAGGTGCAGCCATTGTTCCCGCTGGTCCCTATTCATCCGCCCTCGGCTGCCGCTCCGCGCCCGCTCCCGCATTGTTCCTCCAGGAAATTAGCATTAAAAACCCATCCGAAACCCCCACGTCCCTCAACTGCAGGTGACTGTTATTGGCCCCAGCTGCCACCCTTGTGCTTGATTACTTCCATATGGGGTTGTGGCAAGAAGTAGGATCCACTTATTGATTTTTTTAAAAAAATTTTTTTTTAATATATTTTTTCTCCCTTTTTTATTTCCCCCCCCACAGCCCACACGGACACTTCAGCTCTTGCAAGGAACAAAACCCTGAAATCTGTTAAGCCCCTGATAGGCTCCAGTTGCTGTTACAACCGGGATGAACATTTTACAGGCGAAGCTAATTACACCCTCCCTCTGCTTTCTTCCTTTCTTCATACCCCACCCCATAAATGTAAAATAACCAGAGGGCAATTGGTAGTAAATTAAATCTTTGCAGTGTCCTCAGAGGAGGTTTCCTTGCTAGCAGGAAGAAGTCTGCCGGGCTTTAGATGTTTGGGGTTGTTTTTTTTAACTAGAAAATGGGAAACTGGCATGTTGCTGTGGCACACCTATTAAAGGGACACAGATCCCAACCTGCGTCTGGATAGAAAAGGAAAAAATAATTGAACGAGTGGGCTGTTAATTTGTGAGTGTTGTCAGCTGTTGAGAGGAGCCAGAGAGAAACTGGGTGCCAACTGAGGCTACAGAATTCTAGGAACGATGTGATTTTTCTCCTGGTGTGATTTATCTGCAGGGCAGCAGGTTCCATGAAACCCCAAAATATTTTCTGGGGTGCTCTGGCAGAGTGCCATGGAGCAGCCTGGGTTTGCCTCGAGGCGAGAAATGCTGCAGTTGGTAAGAGGAGGGAGGGAGGGATCTCTTGGTGCCCTACCTAGGACTTGGAAATGAACCTGCCCTGCAGAGGCACGGAGCATC